CTATTATTACTGTATTAATTTTTAAAACACATTTTCTTCCAGACAGATATATTTCTTATTTACTGTACTTATTCGGTCAAATTGTAAGGAAATTTAAACCTGAAAAACCCAGAATGACAGTGTTATTGATCAAAATTAATAAATTAATAGAATATTTCAAACGGTTTCAACGCTGCAAAGCTTAGTACTTTTAACACCATTAAACAAATCAGAGTCTATAAAATTAAATAGTATTATTCATATTCGTTGGATATATATTTAATAAAGATATTTCTTTCCATTGCAAATTAGTGTAGTTATTGATATTTATTGATTAATTTAGTTGTTTCCAACCATTTTTTCATAGGTTAAAACTTGGTTCCAAAATCGACGAATGAAGCAAAAGAAACTCGACTTAAATTCACCAGTAAACGAAACGCAGACAGATAGGCCGAGTCAGATAAAGAAATAATGTACCAATAACATCACTTACTGTAAATACAATTAAAACAATGTATAGGCCTATTAGAAAGCCATGCAGAATGTCAAATTTAAAATGGCAAAAATACTTGTAATGTCCTTCTTAATGGAGACATATACAATGGAATCTACTTGTATATTATTTTATTGACTGTCATATCAAATAATTTTGTCTGTTTGATATTTGATAAATTACTGTGACAATTGGTTTTATACCCATAATATGGTTTAATATTTCATTTTGTTATTGTACCAGCATTTACAATACAAAAATTAATATGTAAGACGATACACTAGTACAGTACAGTAGTAGTTTACTACAGTAAGTAAAGGAAAAGTACCTCTTTGAGACAAGTTAAGCATTTTTATTATTATAGCACAATCGTTCGCACAGGCGCGGATTTAGACCATTGCACTGTTATCATGTTGACAATGTTTTAGTAATAACGTTTACTCTAACGTTTACTTTACATTACGAGTGATTAAATGTGTTTCGCTCAGTGTTTCATCTTATTTGTCTTTGTGGGCTACTTGGCAAGTCAGAAGCAATGGATCTTACCAGAGTGTCAATCAAATTTAACAAACCGACCAATCAGAACCGGGCAAGGAATACGCTTTTCCCCACATACCACGTGATGTCCCACAAACGAATGGTTATTCGCTATCGCTGTGTGGGGCGTACCTTCTTAGCAACAGTATCAAAGGGGCGGGGCTTACCTGGTCAGATACCTACTACTACTTGGTACCATAAACCAAGGAGGTATACAAATAACTAATTCCTCCATGTTGATATTTGGTGATTATTCTCTTGAATACTCCACTTGGAAGTCTGAAAA